CATTTTACTAAAATAATAATAAAAAAGTAATATATATATATATATATATATATATGTACAAAATAATATATACATGAAACAAAGTTGATTCTAGAAGCCAAAAGAAACATAAAAGTTGATATATGAAGTTGAAATAAAAGTTGGTTAAAGTTTATTTATTAAATTGAATTAGATTAGATTATTTATTAAGCAATTCAAGTTTACGTTAGATAAAGGGGAGATAGAACGAAACGAAGACGTATCAATTTCATTTTATTTTCATCTCACTCTTCTAATCAAAACTTCAATTGCTTGTGATCTAATAATAAATAAATCTTAACTAACTTTTGTACGTTATCTTGACTTCTAAAATCGATCCTGAAAAGATATATTATGTATTGCATTATTAGAATATATATTAAATATTTAAACATTTCAATAAAATAGAATTTCTGAAAAAATGATTAAGTTTAACAAATTCATGTTGTGTAAAATATAATAATGATAATAAATGTGAATTATATTAAAATTAATTAATCAATGTTAAAAATATTAGCAAAAATTAATAAAAAATTAATAACATTCAGTGTAACATTCAGAATTTTCTATATAATCTTTCAATAATTTGTGAAGTTCAAAAAACTTGAAACGAGTAACTTCTTTTTTTCCTTCTGTATAAAATATATTTATCTTTTTTTTATACAATTAAATTAGTGTAAAGTAGGTGTGGAGGAAAAAATTATTAAAAATATTTTCGTTTTTAATAAATTATAATTAAAGATTATAACAATCGTAGATAATTATAGCAGAAGTTTATTTTACTTGTCTTTATCATATAAATTGATATTTAATTATTGAACAAAAAATTCAAAATAATATAAAAGTAATATCAGAGTAAAATTAGAATTGATTAAATTATTATCAAAATTAGAAGAATTTATAAATTGTTTATTATATCTCATTCTTTCATATATATATTAATTTTTTAAAAAAATGTATTATCTATGTATTAATTATATAAGCAAAACTGTTCATGAGTCATGAGTCTCATTTAAGCTAAATTCCAGAGATTCATATCTAATGCCGTGAGTCAAGGCACTTTCTATGAAGCAGCGAATGCAACAAGTGCCAATCACGATTCTATATTTAGCACTAAGCAATATGATTTATAAATATAAATACAAACAACGAGAACAAAGAAGATGTTGAAATTAACGTGAAATTAATACATTATATAAAATATAATACAAAAATGGTAAAATATTGCAATTATAATCATATATTAAAACGAAATATAAATGCTTCTTTTTCATTAATTAATCTCGATCAATTTCAATTAAATCATATAATCTCGTATGCTTCTGAATTGAATTATTGGTTGAATAAATCTTTGCGTGTATTACATATGTATTTGAGCAGAAGGAGTCGAGAAGAAGGAAAGGGAAGAAGGAAGGGAAGGTACAGGAAATTGGAAATGCAAACGTTGCGAGGAACCGGTGACACGAGTCGAGAAATTGATATTTTTCTAGTTCACGTTTTTCTTTTTTTTTTCTTCCTTTTTTTTCCCTAGATTCGAAACAAATTAGATTCGATAATATCCTTGTAGGAAGTAAAATTTTCCTTCATACTTTCTTTTTTCATCCTTATTTTATTAAATTGCCACTAATTATTATTATAATCAATTTGATTACATCAATCGACAAGAATATAAGATTAGTTAGTAGATTATTAGTGAATAAATTAAATTCGCATATTATCGTTTAAAATTGTTTTGGTTTCGAGATAACATGAATATTAATATTAATATTATTATTATTGTTAACATAATATTTTCAATGAATACGATACAAGATCTAATTGAGAATCTGTTGGCATTTCTAAAATTAAAGATTTAAAATTCAAGAATTTTCTTTGAATTAGCTTTGAATTCAAAAAGAAGAAAAATTCGAAGACTGATATTTTATACGAAATATTAATAAGTTATCCTATTGTTAAAAAATTTTATTCCTTAAACGTTGTACAAAACAATACTAAATGTAAGTAATGAATCACTTACAACATCAAAAAGTTAGTTAGAGTTAATAGAGCAAGTTCGATATTTATTTTTTATATTCTAACATTAATTTTTTTTTTTTTTTTTTACCTAGTAACAATTCCTTAATTCATTTATAAAATAGATCAAAAAAGAGAATCTCAATAAAATATTGTATTGCAACAGTGCAGAGTGTGTAACAAATATTTTTCATTTATATTAAACAATAGGCTAGTAAATAAATAGATTCGATCAATTTATTCGTTTGAATTATTCGTACTTTTTCAAAGTATATTTTTTTAATGATTCATTTTTATTTTTATATTATTTGGCACAAAAATAAATAAGTCGAAGTAACAATTATATTGCAATAATAATTTTAATCAATAACACCGATACGTTTTTATATAAACAAAATATGAAATTAATTCATCACAAAAAACACGATTTTTTCTCTAAAACATAACTTTCATGAAGACATCACTATAATTGACTTCACTATTTTGATCATAATATAATAATACTAACAAGAATTTAAAATTACGTAAAAATATTTGAAAAAAAATTAACTTTAAATTCATTTTAAATTATTTTAAAAATTACAATGTATAACGTCGAGTTTAGTTCGACATTGGAGTTGATGCAAGAAATATGATGTCGAACCACACTCAACATTGGAGTCCTAAGGATTAATAAGAATAAAAAATAATTGAAATGAAATTATATTCTTCATCATATCGTTTGATTGCGAATGTGTATGCATTTATGGAAAATTTGAACAGAAATCTGCATCAGAATAAATGACGTGGAAAAAATATATACAAAATATTCAAAATATACTTACTATGCACAATGATATTTGAAAAATGAAATGTCTTCATTTAAGTTCTATTATTCTTTAATCGTAGTCATAAAAATATTGATTTTGCATATATATCCGTAATTTAGTTATCATTGTTCTTTGTTTCTTCTTATAAATTAATTCATACTTTGTTATTAAATCCAGAACAGATAAGGAATATAAATATGTATTACACGAGAACGTTCCCTTGTACAAATATATTTTATGGTATCACGAATTGCGTGTTTTATAATAGACTTTATACTTCAACTTTTACGTGATATAAAGTTTAAGAGTATACGTGTTAACACAAGATTATAGTTGTAAGGTGTGCCTATGATTTGTTATTTCAAGGTTGAACTAGGTTTAGGTTCTCCAGTTTTACGTCATTGAAGCCTATTTATACTCTGTGATAGCATGTAAACATACCGGATGTTTTTCAAAATTCGTGTTTGCAAATGATTATTTACATAATAAAATATTCTATATACAATATAATTATTCTTGTTGCATATTTACGATATTTAGATGATATAGAAATAAATGGTATCTATACATAGCAGAAAATTCATTTTTTTTTCTTTTTTTAAATAATTATCGATAATTGATTTTT